ACCCCTAAGGCAACCTTCAAGAATTACGCCCAAACACCACCTCCTCCATGAAGCCTTCTTTCTCTGATTGTTCCCTTCCTCTTTGAACTCCACTCTCTCTGGTCTTGCTGCTATCTCTCCTGAGCCACATGCTGTTACAATTAAATGACCATGTCTTACTCTCACTACTAAACTGTAAGTTCCTGGAGGATAACACTGGGGTCTAAGCTACCAACATCACCACTGGGCAAAGTGTGCTGTATGCCAGGAGGGCTTTTGTTCACCCAGTCTAACTTGGACCCACAACCCTTCAACATAGGGCTGTAGGTAGTCACATCAATCAGAGCAGACAAGAACGATGACATCCTTTATTCAGGATTTAAGGTCTGAAATCCAACGTTAGTCAGAATTCAATGAATACGCTGGAAGCTCTTTGTCAGGGAGAAACATGGCAGCCCTTGCCACTTTGTTTTGGGTCCTCATGGACCCCAAGTCTCCAGGCTAAATTCACTGGGAATGGGCTTCTGCCAGGGTACCTGGGAAAAGACACAACTAGGGCCCTTCCCAAGTCACTGGAGCCATGCTCCTGTCAGCACTCCCTCAGTGCCTGGTGCAGTCATGGCTGGGTGGGGTGTGCTTGGATCTCCTACTTTTCAACCTTTTGGCAATTCTGACCTCTGTCTGCTTTCATGGCTTCTGCCTGTCCTGTTTCCCTGGCCCTTGGTTATGTGGATGCCTCACCATCCCGGCCTTGCCTCACCTGCCAATGCAGGAGGCTCTATCTATTGGGACACAGGAACACACATCCAGGCCTACTCATCTGAAGGGGCAGGTGGGCCCTGCTGCAGTGTGCCTGTGCTAAGATCAGCTGTCAAACTGTGAAGGACACTCACAGGCAGCACTGTACACTCATACCTAAGGGGCCACCTGTGTAGTGCTATTTGCAGGAGGAATCCACCCTTTGCCTCAAAATATAAACCCACCAAAAGTTGCTTTTTCAGAGGCTGTAAGTGGCAAAGTGGAACACTGAAATTTCTAGTCAGACACCTTGTTTCAAATCCTGGCTCTCAAAACCTCAGGAAAGTGACCCTCAGTTTCCTTATCTGCAAAACGAGGGCAAGTAACATGCAGTTAAGCAGATGATGTATAATATATGTACTAAAGTGCTTAACTTAGGGGTGAGGATAAAAAGTCAGAGGGCCCCTCAAAGCAGGTTTTAATAACTAGTAGTTATTGCTGGAGGGAGTGTCTCTGTGCCCCGGGGGTAAGAGGAAGTGGGAGTTGGAAGTCCCCTGGATCATCTCACAACAGCCAGTACACTAACAGCTGGCTGATTACAAGAGCCACTGGATTTGCCCAAAGGGAGGCAGTCTAGGCTAGGGGGAGCCAAGGATGCCTGACAGGAAGAGAATGTGAGCAGCAACTGGGCCATGATGTCAACAGCTCCAGGGCAGGCCTGTCCTCTCATGGATGCTTTGATGTCCTGCAGAGCTTCAAGGGACAGATTACCCCTGGGGGCCTACAGTCCCATTACGTAACTGACAGCTTGGCTGCTTCCGGTTGATGGAGCAGGAGCAATCAAGGGATGGCAACAGCAGGGGCAAGAAGCAGGCTGCTAAGGAGCTGCCTCAGCCTTCAAAAATAACAGCCTTCCCCACCTGGGGAGGAAGATGCCTCAGAAAGCCCCGGTAAAGATGAGGCCCCAGGGGACATGCCTCTTTGTGTTGGCACCTAAGGCTGTTAGAGTCTTCACAGCTGAAGGCTGAGCTTCAATGTCCTGGGGAAAAGAGAACCAGACACACTTGAATCCTCACTCACAATCCCTCCACTCTTGCATGGCTCTGTAAAATGCTAGTGAGACAGGGTAAGGCAGGCTGTTGTTCCCATTTATAGACAGGGACTCAAAAGGGGCTCAGAACAGTAAAGAAAACAAAAAAAGAAGCTCAGAGGTTCCAGATCTGCCTAGATCAAAGACCTAATCATCAGCTAAATACCTCCCTCCCAATGATCTCTCTACTTTAAATAAAATCCCCATTATTTAAGGACCTAATCATCCATTTCAGGGCACAGGCTGGCATTTCCCTCCTCCCACTCTCCCACTGGGCAATTCAAGGCTCCACCACACAGTAAGGGGGATCAACCTCTGGGGTATAAGGATCACACCACTGGCCCTGGCAGCTAGATCTTCTCTGTGCAGCCCTCCTTGCTTATACTTTTCTTCGAGCAAGTGACCTGGTTGTTTACTAGCATACTTTAAACTTTTCCGGGGTAGCAGAAGAAACTACTACTGACTAGAAACCTACTAAGCGCCAGGCATAGTGTGCCAGGTACTGCGTGGCCACATCGCTCAGAGTGTTTCCAGCTGGAGGGACATGGAATTCAATCTACTTGATGCTCAATTTTTTGCTGAATTATGAAAACATTTGGAATTTATAGATGATTCAAGTGAGGTAATATACCATACTGGTTAAGACCATGGGCTTAGACCTGGGTTCAAATCTAGACTTTGCCCCTTATTTGCTCTTTGGGAAGTCAGTTGAAAGAATTAAGTGAAATAATGGTCATAAAGCATTTCACCTACAGATGACCAGTAATTACCATCTGCATCTCGGGTCGTCTCCGGCACTGTCATCCCTCTTTAAAGCCTAACCCGAGTGTCTTCGTGCTCCTAGGTTAGCACATGCATGTCCTGATAACGGGGCCCAGAAGTCACAAAACAGAGAAGGCACCTGCTCTAGCTCTGCATTCCAAATCGTTTGCCCAAAACCCTTTTTAAATTTATCCTCCAGGGACTCAGTTTTGAAGATTCTGTTATTTAAAACATATTAATGAAGAAATTTTCTCCATTTCTTCACGTTTTTAATATTGCTACTGATTAACTTGGCACCTACGGTGTGATATAACATGGGTATGATTCCAGCCAAAAGGAACCAAAGTGATATTTGAATCAGAGTTGGATAATTCAGGCTGGGGACCTTTCCTATTACCCTGTATCCTTTATTACTTCAATAAGAAATGAGGTTCAAATTCTTTCTCTGATGTTGGGGAGCTGCCAAGATCTCATATGGAGCAGAGAATATTCTCTATGATCACTCAGGTCACAGCAACATCTGATTTCCTTCAGCCTTAGCTACCCTCTCCAAATCCACGTCATTCAAAGGCCTTGGCTTCAAAAGGCCCTAGTAACAGAGGTTTGTGTACTGGAGACAGCAGACTCGGCTAGGCATGCAGATTCCCTTATCCCCCAGCACCCTCCCTGGTGATGTGCGGGTGGTGGCATCTGGAACTTCATGTGGCTGGCTGGTAGGAACCACTGGGAATTAAACACCTTCAGAAAACAAAAATAAAGGGGAGACAGGGCCCATCATTAATCTTTAAAAATAGGTAATTTGGGGGAGGGGAACGACAAGCGATTGAACAGGGTTGAGTATGGCTTTTGTTTTAAAAGAAAAGCTACTTGGGGATTCTCAAGAGGCGTGGCTAAAGACCAGGGTCTTCAGAGGGGAATGGAAGAGAAGGCGATACTTACACCTCAGGCCAAAGGGAGTATCTAAACAAATTCTACATTTACTTTCGACAGTTTATAAACAGCACTTTCAGGGCCACAACCTCTTGTGATTCTCCCAATGGCATCAATAACATAAATATGATCTACTCCATTTTATGGATAATAAAACCAAGGCCCAGAGAGGTGAAATAACTTGCTCAAAGTCACAGAGCCAGTAAACCACAGAAGTGGGACTCAATCCCTGGCCTGTTGATCCCAGAACCACGCTTTCCATGAGGCCACGAGTTTCTCAGGGGAAATCCCATGTTTCCAGCCCACTTTTACAAAACAAAATCATTTAGCCCTGACTTAAACCTTACTCTGAAATCCACAATCCTAGATTATTGAGTTATTTCTTTACCATGCTGGTACAAGTGTGTTTACTACATACATGCAAAGCTCTACGCCCTACCTCTCCCCTGAACTCCAGACTCAGCCAACTGCCTACTCTACATCTGTACTTGGATTCTAAACTGGCATCGCAAACTTTCAGATGATTAAAACCTAACTTTCTCCTGCCAAACTTATTCCCCTTCAATGTCTCCCCATCTCATTTGATGGCAACTCTTAGGCTGAAACCTTGGAGTCATCCTTGACTCCTTTCTCTCTTACCACACACATCCAATCCAGTTGGAAGTCCTGTTGGCCGACTTCAAAACACACCCAAATCCAGTCAACACCTCCCCTCTCAAGCCACCATGATCTCATCTGGATTATTACAGTAGCCTCCCATTTCATCCCCTCACTTCCACCCTTACCCCCTACAGTTTATTCTTAGCACAGCAGTCAAGGTTATCCTTTCAAAAGATCAGGTATCACACAGCTAAAAACAATGGCTTCCCATTTCACCCAAGAATAAAAGCTAAACTCCTTTACCTAACTGACTCCTAGTTACTTCTCTAGCTTCTTTTCCTACTCTCTTCTTTGTTCACTCTGCTCCAGCCTCTAGGCCAATATACTGGCTGTTCCTTGCCTGGGAAACCCTCATGACTCACTCCCTCAAGCTCCTAACCTTGGCTAAAATGTCACCATCTCAAGGAGACCCGCCCTGATCTCTCCTATTTAGAAGTAAAATACCTCCATCACCCACCTTCCAGCATTCTGATCTCCTTTACCCTACCCTACTTTTCCCCCCCATAGCACTTATTACTCTCTAGTATGCTAAAATAATTTACTTATGTTAACTGTCTCTCCAGAAGAAGTTCTACAAGGGGCAAGTATTTTTGTCTATTCTGTTTGCTAATGTGTAGTATCTTCTGTGCCTAAAACAGTATCTGGCCAATAGTTTCCCAATAAATGCGATGAATGAATAAATGGAATTAGTTTCTCCATCTAAAAAGTTTGGTGGGAGTGGCAGGATTGGTCAATGATCCCTCCCAAAGTGCCAGATACAGTTCATTTACACCAGAACTGGTTTCAAGCTTTTGACACCACAAGGTGTGGCTCCCTGTCATACAGACCTGGGCAGAGGCCCACAATTCTAGATGCCCAGACAGGACAGGGCTGGATAGGCTAAATAGGCACCAACTGACCAGGTACTGTAGTGATTAGCTGTCAGAGCCACAAAATGAATTAACCACAGCCTGAGACACTTACCAGTAACCAAGTTCCTAATCTTTTCTCCTCTCTTCTCAAGGTCACCCCATTTCTCCTAGATAAAGGAACCACTCCTATTTAGCTAGAACTTTACCCTGTAAAATAGCACGAATACCAGTGTAGAGGTCCAAACGGGAGCCCTGATCTCATTTAGTTATGACAACCCCATAATCTTAACCCAAATTCAGGCTCTTCTTCAAATGACAACCTTCTTCCTACTCTAGGGCAAACTCAAATTCTAGGTCTTTCAAAAGTGGAGAAGATGAGATGGAAATGGGAAGTGATGGCATAAAATACAATTAGAACACTGTTGAGCCTGCCCTTTTTGGTTTGTAACATGATACTACCCCAGATCTTTGGGGTACGGTATTCTCTCACTCTCTGGGTAGTAGGACAAGTTGGCCCGGCACATGGAAGGTACTCAATAAATGTTTACAGAATGGAAGAATTAAACCTAGTGACTCAGTTCATAAACAAGTTAAGAACATGACAGATGTAACCCAGCTCAACTTTATTAACCAACTCCAACTAGAAATTTGAGGGTGATGAAAGAAAAGGCCACCTAGGTGACAGAAGGTCCTGTTCCTGATGAGCTCCTGAGGCTCCTTCTTTGTGGCCACTGGGATCAGCGTTATCCCCCATCACCTCATCTTCCAGGCTTTGGCTTACTTCCAGCTTGCCATATAAGATAAGAGGGGAGGGGGAAGGTATGAATACAACACATGTGACCTTAAATTAGTAGGATCACTGGGGAAAATTACTGAACTCCTTGCGGTGTTGTAAAGATGAAACAAAATGGTACGTGTGAAAATACCTAGCATATATGGTGGTCAATGTTCTTTTCCTTTCCCTTTCCACAAAACAAGGCTGGGGATCCCTGTTAAGGAAAACAATTCAAATCTGACTAATACACTAGCCCACTACGTCTACTACTTTTCCTCCTCTACCTTCCACATCTAGCCAGCTGTCTTGACAATACTCCTCCCTTAAGATCCAGGCATTTCTCTATCCTTGGTGCTATGCAACTTCAACAACATCTCTTACTAGTGTGAATAAAAAAAATTAGTCTCCCAGTCCACAGTCTTTCTTCTGTCTAATATAGCTTGTATATGTTGAAAGACCAATGGTTTTCCTAATGCTGCAAGAGCTGTCCTATCGTCCTTCTGCTGTGGTCCTCAGATGGCGCCCAAAAGGCTACTAAGTCAAGGTCAAATTCCAGGATTTCATGTTCCACCTAATTTCTGACCTTATCGCCCTTTCTCACACCTCAAACTCTGGTCCAACTGAACTACTGCTGCTGTTCATAGTGCTCAGTGCTCATCTTTGAATTTCCCACCTCAGCCTCTGTGCACAGTGGTCCCTCAGCCTCACAGGATCCTGTGCTTCCTGATCTCCCATGTCTACATTCCTCGCTATCCCAAACTGCTCTAGTCTCTCAGATATGCTAGGCTCCCACTGGCGTCAGGTCCTTCGCAGAGGCTAGTCCTTCCACCTGAAATGCTCTCCCCTGCCCCCAATTCCCTATTTGTCCTCAAGTTTTAGTTCAATCATCACTTCCCCTGGGCAGTATCCTCTGAAAATTAATTTCCCTTAATACCTCTTCTTTTTCATTATAAAACAACTATGATAAATATGGATTAATGTTTGTCTTTCCAGCTCAACTGCAGAACTCACAAGGACAGGAAAAGTTTCTGGTTCTGTTCACCACTGTCACCCCAGAGCCTAGTACAAATGAAAGCCCACAAAAAATCCATTAAATAAGCAAAGATTTCCACATAAGAATATTCACTAATACATCCTTCATAATATCTAAAATCTGCTATCAAAATGTCATCAAAAAGTAGGAGAATGGTTACATGATAGTACATATAATGGAATATTATACAATCACTGAAAGCCATACTTTCAAAGAAATAATGACATGGGGGGATGCTCAGGGTAGTGTTGAGTGAAAAGAAGAGGAAACAAAACTGCACTTACCTATAAGGATGACCTGAACTATGAAGAAGTGGATACGTGAGTAGAGATACAATTTTTCTGAGAAATTGCCTGTATCTCTTCTGCACATTTCTACGAGCATTTATTACTTGATGAAAAGTATTTCCAAGAAAATTAACAGACACAGCTCAAATGCAACCTCCTCTCAGAAGGCTTCTCTAGACTTTCAAACTTACACTCAAATAATCCTAAATATCTCCTCATTGAGATTTGAGGGAGGGGGAGGGGATCTTTGCTAATAAGCACTGAGTTCCCTTCAACTGTGCATTTCCTCCCAACTTGATGGGCCCAGTCCCAGGGCCCAGGATGAAGAACCCAGTTTAGTGAGTGCACATGTAGAATAAAAAGCGAGTACTCACCTAGTTTAAAAACACCCAAGATGCTTTGCCCTGAATTTTAAGCAGCACATGTGACCTGGTCCATTCTGGTTTCAAGTTCAAAGGCATCAGGCCGGTCCTGTGGGTTAGCAGCTAACATATCTTTCAAGAGCTGCTTGATCCCCTCAGACATGGAAGTCCTGCGTTTCTGGGGGATGTGCAACTCCATCTTTGGGTTTTCTAGCAGCGCCTCACCAACCGGGACAATTTCGGTCCCCTGTTTGATGTACGTCCCCAGGAGCTCCTTCTTGGTCTCAGAGTCAATGAAAGTGATTCTTTCTATCATTGCCCAGATGATAATGCCTAGGGCAAAGATGTCGGCCTTGGCTGTGTAGTGTCCTTCCCAGACTTCAGGGGCCATGTAAAAGTCTGAGCCGCAGGCTGAGGACAGCCAGTACTTATTCACATTCACATTTTTGTTGTCTTGATTGCCCTCTTTGCCTCGTGGGGCTAGCCCAGCACAGACCTTGCTTAGTCCAAAGTCTGCCACCTTGAGGATAGGGGTGCCAGATCGCTCTGTGATGAGGATGTTGTCTGGCTTTAGGTCCCTGTGCACGATGTGGTTTTTGTGCAAGAAGGCTATGGCGCTCGTGAGCTGTAGCATGAAGCTTTTGTTAGTGGCTGGGTCTGGCCTCCGAGATAGGACATACTGATTCAGGTCTCCACCTTCACAGAACTCCATGACAAACCAGAGATAGCAGGGCTCCTCAGCATAACCCAGGATCCTTTCCCCTAAATGAAAGGAAAACAGGAAAGCATTTGAGATGGGCAAGTTCATACCACTCTTGACTAAAGGAATGCAGCGTATCAAAGGAAGAGTGACAGTGGTGGTAAACAATTACTCTTAGAAGACCAGCACAACTGGCACTGACCCAACTCTACACACTTAGGCCTGTCTCTCGCTCTTACAGGATGTTGAGATATGACACAGGCAGCAGGAACTGGTGTCAAGGACATGGGGTTTGGAACTGAGTGCCTGGGTGGGATCTCTGGTTTTACTGTGACTCAGTTTTCCTTTGCAAGTTTATATTTCTGCTTTTCCACCTGTAAATGGTCATGGGTAATCACTTAATGAGTGCCTACATTGGCACTTTATGTTCAATGGAAGACTTATCACCACTCTGTGAAGTAGGAGGAAATATCCCAGTCTTACAAAATGAAGAACCTGAGGCTCAGAGACTTAGATCTAAGAGATTCAAATCCATTTGAATGTGAAGCCTTTCGGTTTCATTATATGGTCTCCCAACACGCAGCATCATACCACCCACATCTACAAGGCAAAGCATGTGAAAAGGTTGTGGCAGTAAAGCCCTGTACAAATTTATGTTACTAGTATCACTATTACTCCAAGCCAGGCTAATGACCTTCCCCTCCCCCGTTTCCCTGACCTGTACAATGATTCTTGTTAATGCACCAAGAATAGCACTAGAATTTTCTTTGTCTATTTCAGAGACACACTTCAATTCATCAATATTTTCTGCTAACCCACCATATGCCTAGCAGTTAGGTACATAACACACCCACTCGTTTCTACGAAGCTTTGTTTCCAGGAGATAACAGGTATCTACAACAGCAACCATCAAGCTGACATGTAATCAAGTGGCTGTATGCCTGGCACCAAGGTAAATTTCTACTAACAGTGAAGGGTAGGCAGGAGTTGCCAGAGCTGCAGGAGTCAGAAGAGGCGGCACTTGAATTACCCTTTGAAGGACAGGAAGTGGACCAGCAAGGAGAAGCAAGAAGGGAATTCTAGAGTGAAAGATGAAATGGTAATGAGACATAGGGAGAAATGGACCAGAGAGGTATAAATAGGAGGTCTTGTGGAAACAGTGGAGTCCAAAGTAGGAGGCATAAGGTGGAATCAAGTTATGTGGGCTTGAAACTCCAGTTCTGCCTTTCCAAAAGCCTTTCTTTTTGAACCAAAGACTCCAGAAAAGCTATGACTGGCATCTCCAATCGAGTCCCAATATTCTTTATAAAGCAATTAACAGTACACTGAACCCTTACATAGAGGTTATCTGATAATTACAACAACCCTCTAAGGTAAGTAGGCAGATGTCTCATCTTGCCGATGAGGAGGATGGGCCTGCGAGTGCAGGGACTCACCTTGGGTGGTCACGGGGATTATTCCTAACTGAGCCAGGGCCTGAAGACAAGATGGTGTCTCCATTCTACCAAAAACGAGGTCGGTACCTCCGCCTACAGACGCTGCCAGAGGGCCCCTTTTACTAGTCATTTACTCCACTTTATTACAAAGAGAACCAGTGCTCAGGATGGCATTCCAAACGTACCTGAAATTACCAAGGCACACAGCCTATCAAAGCCAGTGGTTTGGGAGTTATAGGTAAAGCCAAGAAGATGACAGACAAGAGCAAAACCTTTGGGTTTCTGACCACACTCTGACAGACTTCACTTCCCCTGCAATTATACAATTTGTTTGTTTATATTACTCACAATAAAAGTAATACAGGTAGAACCAGTTAAGGGCAGATGGGTTTTTTAAATCAGTTGTTCCCCTCTCATAATCCTCTTTCTAGGTCAATGGCTCTGAGTGGGCTGAGGCTCTCTACCTAACAGCACTACAAAATGAAGCAGCAATCGGAAGCCCAAATCCATCTAGACTCTAAAGACCCATAAAAAAGAGAGCCAGAAATGTTTACTGGAAATACAGCCAGAAAGGAGAAGATAAAAAAGCCATCAAATTCCTTCTGCAAAAGCCTCACCAGAAAACAGTGAAAGTTTTGGTATGAGGTTAAGGGGTAGGGAATATGATTATTTTATATACAAAGTTGGTAACTATGGCAACTGAAGTGAAAAGAAAACAAGTCTGCAAAACAGACTGTACACTGTAAGTCTAGGTGATGAGATTCCGGGGAGAGGAAAAAAAGGATAAAAATGTGCCCTACATTAGTGAGTGGGTGGGGTAGATGGGCCCCTGGGCTGGGGAAGTAAGCTAAGCTCAGGAGGTGCTAAGGGAGGGGGCTGTTGCTTGAAAGGAAAACACTGGACAGGAGGAAGAATTCTCAGAACCAGACACAGCACTGGTGAGCATGACAGAGTGGAAAGCTGCGGAAAGCAGCTATTTGTCCCAGGGACAAAAGTATTTCTTTGCACAGGCCAGGGCCTTAGGCTTATTTCATTAAATCAACTTCCTGAGAAGCTGCAGCATGTGTTTTCACGCCGGAGTTCCCAGCTGCCCACTAGACAACACAAGACACAAGTCAGAACTGCAGCCCTTTACTCCGGGCACATTGCCTACCGGGCCTATCAGCTGGCTCACGGCAAGAGCGAGGGAGGGGTGGTGGACAGTGCCTGGGCCGCAGCAGACACTCGATGTGTTTCTGTGCAGAAGCAAGCCAGGGTGAAGTAACAGCAAGAGTACAGACCAGAAGGCTAGCCGTCTGGGTTCAACCCCAACTCTGCCCGCTAGTTTGTTGGTGGCTTCTTAGTTCAAAGGAAAACATGAGGACAGTGAGGAACAATGGAAAGATGGCTAGAATTTTGGGCAAATCCCTGAATGTCTCAGGGCCTTAGACTTTTTATTGCCTCAGTTTTCTTGCACATCAAATGAGAATGACACCCACACCACATGATTACTGTGAATTTAAGTTCCAAATGCGAAAGACATTTTGCACAGTGTAAGATATGCTGAGGGAATCACTTACTGACCACTACTAACACCCCTCAACTGAGTCCTAGGAAGTCACTAATTTCAAAAATCTAAGTGCCAAAGGTCACAGAATAAAGCTCTCATGTTAGGCAAAAGATGAATACAACTGAAAAATGCCCAAGCCTACGCAAGAGTCAGTGAAATTTAGATTGAAAAATGAAAGGTGCATGATCGCCTCTAAGACATCACACTTGTTCAGGCTGTAACTGCTAAAACCCACATTCTAGTCAAACCAGCCACTTTCTTTTATTTGGGGTGATTCCTCTACTAAAAAGTTCCCTCTGAAGGTGCAGCTAAAGGTATGCCATAAGGTCTAGCTTGAATGTCCCCTACTTTACACTTGCCTGACTTCCCAGGTAACTGCCCTCTTTGGACCAGTCAAGGCCCTAGTCTTGTATCTATTTTAGTTTTTATTCAATGAGATCAGATATTCTGGTTTGTAGCCTATGGTTTAACTTTTCTGTTTAACCAAGAGAAATGCTGGAACGTTTCACCAGGCACTCTGTTTTACAGGTGGGAAAACTAAGGCTGAGAAAGAGTAACTTACCCAAAACCACTGCCATGAATGGCTGGGTGGGATATGAGACTCTGCAGCCAAGTCCTTCCACCAGAAAACGCTATCTCCCAGTTCACAGAGGCCTAAGTTCACACAGTACTTTGATGAGAGAGAGGCAGGCCCACCTTTGGGATAGTCTTACTACCTTTCCCTCAAATCCGATAGCTAGGAGGGCACAAAGTAAGTCGTGTACTTTAAAATATATTACATGCCACAGTTCACAGGGAAACAGAAAAAATGCTGAGAAAAATCAAGCAAGGGTCTCGAATAGTATTACTCTTGGAAATAAATAAGTAGTGTTGAAGTATCCCAATAAAATGTGGCCTGTTTTATGCAGAGACTTGGGGCCAGCAGGCTCAGCATAAGGACAACACCATAAGAGCTTTGGTAAGGCAGGCACCCCCAGGGAAAGAAATTTGTAAGCCTATTCCCAAGCCTCCTCCAGAAGTCAGATTTCCAGGTTGTAGTCAATTCTATTCAAACACTTCCTGAATATGCATTGCTTGTCAGACACAGAGATGAGAAGTGAGTTAGGAGTCTCTGCTCTTGTAAAGGCTTCTGGTCTTTAGATACAGAATGACAACAGCTATGAGAATGAGGAATAGGGCACAGTTCTTCCGGGGGAGGCGGGGGCGAGGAAAGGAAGTTAGGATGAGAGAAAGCAAGTTAAGAATAACTACAAGAGTGGCCCTTCAGCTGGGTGTCCCAGGATGGAAAGAGGGAGCCCACAAGCACAGAGGAGTGTGAGCTGGTCTGCGGTCACCAGAAGAGAAGCAGTAGGAAATGGGTAGAAATGGGGCTGGAGAGGAAGCAAGGATCATAGAGATGTACGTAAACTAAAGATCTGACTTTAGACTAAAAGAAATGAGAAGTAATTAAGTTCTTGATGTATTCATAGTACTTACAGAATCTACGAAATCATCAGTTTTAAGACATGCCATTTAAGACATAACAAGACTGCTGACAAAACTATGACATACTATTGACTAAGTCGACTTCTGATTCCTGAGATGTTAACATGTGAAAAAAGCATATCTTAGAATCATCGAAACAAGTTCCCTCTGGAGGCAAGAGGGGTTGAAGATAGAAGACAGACTAGCAACCAGGAGACCCATCAGGAGGTCCTGAAACCCAGGAAAGAAGTAAGGACTAGCAAGGCAGGTGCTGGCAAAGGAGGAGGGAGATGGGAGAAAGGTTTGGGAGGCTTAAAATCAATCAAATTTAGGAACTTATCATGTCATGTGTTATAAATGACAAATTCAGAGTGTACTCCAGACAATCCTCTCTTCTTACTCCAAGCTCCTATTTACTCAGATGGTAATTCCTTTTAATAGCAGTTAATAAGCGTTTGTAAAGTGCTTATGAGGATTAATTCATTATTTAATTCTCACAACAACCCAGTGAGGCAGGTACTATTATCCTCTTTTACAGGGCAGAAAACTGAAACTCAGAAGGTTAAATATGGTCTCACAGCTAGTTAACGGCAGGACTCAGAGTCTCCACAGC